ATGTATCTCAAACAGCTAGGATAAAGTTGTGGGTGTGTTTTTGTTGGTTGTTTTTACTCATTAGGGCTGGAAACTACTGTTGAATGGTTTTGGTAATTGATGAGAAAAAATAACTTCTGTAATGCAACTTCTGTGGGTTATTTGTAGTCTCCAGAGTGATTTCACAGGGAGCCTTCTGAGGCAAAGAAGCGGCTGACAGGCCTTGAGTTCTGTAGGGACTATTCTGTAGGGACTAGGGAATAAATCAATGAAGTGGTCATGCTAAGGGCACTGCAAAGATACTGGAAAAGAGATTGTGTGGTTAAATGTTACCAAAGGGTTTATGTAAGAATTTTCGAGACATCTCTCTGTACTGTTTTAAGAAAAATTGAGGTGAAATCACAAAAGAAATTAATTTCTTATGAGCATGAGTGCTTCCAAAGAGGTGCATGTTTAGATTTCTGATGCAGCTTTGAGATGGAGTATTGACTGCATGAGGGGATGAGATGTTCATCTCAATGTAAATACCAGTTTCAAATAACTCGGCAACAGGGAGGAACTGAGGTGGTCACAGTTTTCAAATCTGGCTCATAAGATGTTAATCTTGAATTTCTGTCTCTTCATTAATAGTCAACAAGCAAATGAGTTTTGGAATAACTGGGTTAATTCAGGTTTATTTGAAGTAGAGGAGACTATTTTAAACGATGATTCTGATAAATGTGATAGGAAAGCTTTGTAAAGAGGCAGTTTCTTGTAGATGAAATTTCTAATGCATAGTCAACATGCCAGGCAATTAAGTAATTCCTCATCTAAAAATGGAATAATGAAGGAAGGAAAAAATCTAGAAACTGGAAACAAGATATGGCTCAGCCTGTAGTTAATCCCTGTTTATGTAGCTATTGTCTGTGACTGTGTGAGTTTCTTCATGGACAGAGGTTTTAACAGCTTAAGGTCCTTTTAAAATAGTTTTAGAGGAGATGGCAGTGATGTTTGAGGGTTCATTAATTATTGCTCTTACTGCTGTTTGCACAGGCAGCTGAGATAGTAAATGTCAGTCTGTCAGTGTGATGGGTTCTTTATGAAAAGAAAAAAACCTGAGTGCTCAAAAGCTGTCATCAAACCAGAGATTAAATGAATTCATCTCATTCTTGAAGCAAGCAGCAGCAGAAGAGGGCTTCTCTTTCTCTTACTATTCTCCCATCTCTTCCTTTCTTCCTCCTTCCCTGTTACAGTTCCTCAGCACGTGTCTCTGCTGGGCTTTAGAGCTTCCCATCCTTTCCCCAAAATGCCAAAGAGCCATCATGATCGTTAGTGAAACCTGCAAACTCCTCCGTGGCAGGAGAGTAAGAGAGATTGGGATTCAGGTCTGACAGTCATACAGACATTTATTTAGAAAATTTTGAGGGGAGAACATGGGTAAAGAAGAATGGAACAGTGACAGCAAGGAACAAATGTGAGTTTCTGTCCAAGACATAACAGAATTAAGAACACACCTCTGCTTGTTGTTTCCAGTCGAGCCTCCAGTTCAAATCTTGCTCTGCTGAATTACTTCATTCTCTCATTTCAAGTGGAAATTTGATAGAGTCACCATAATTAGAAGAATCTCCATACTCACATATAGATTAGAAGAATCCTTATTTCTTAACTCTGAATTAAAATTGCAATGGGAGAGTAAAAATGGCAGTGTTACTCTGAGCAATTTCTTCGTGAAATTTTGGGGATGTCTCATCTCTGTTGTTGTTTTTCTTCATTTTTACAGAAAAGTTTTATGATTTTGACATCTGCAGGTAAAAGAAAAGCGTTCTTTTATCTTCTTTTCTCTGCCTCAGACTGAGTATTTGTTGGTTTAGGTGCGATGCTGAAATGCAAGTTGAGTGTGGAAAATGTTTCTTAAAAGCAAAGCAAGAAGTAATGGAACAAATAATTTGTAAAAGAACAACTCATCCTTCTAAGGAAAGCTGCTGTCAGTCACTGGCTGAAAGAATCCTCTGTAGCCATTTTTGAGTGTTTAGTAGTTCACACTGAGAATTTACTCTTGACTCTAGTTGCAGCACTTGCCCTGTTTGTAGGGTATTTCTTTTCCCTGCAATCGAGGCAGTAAAGCTATACGTGACGATTTCCTTTGCAGTCAGACCTCTGAAGTTTAATGCTTCAAGATTCCAGGTGCTGGAGGATTTATTTTGCATCCTGTATTGCTTATGTTAGTAACAATAGTAACAGAATTAACGGAAGGCAATGTGATCTCAAAGAAATGCATCCAGGACTGAATCTAAAAGTTCTGGTTTCTTATCTGTGCTTTCTCTTCGCTCCTTGTACTTGCTCATAAGACGACAGAAGCATGTCTGCTGTTGGTCCGTTTTGTGACGAGTATTGGCTTGTGCTCATGTTCAAGGCGCTGTATCAGATAGCTGGCACTATTTGGCTAAGGCTGGCACTAGGCTAAGTTTACCTCAGTGTTAACAATGTTTAGTTTATGGCAAAAAGATATGCATTTTTAAAAAACAGATATCTAAATTTTCATTTCTATCATATTAACCATCTTATGTTAATATTCAATGAGTCATTACCAATTAACAGGAAATGTATAATTAAATACTTTAATTATAGGACTACTAGCCTGACTCGGGTAGCTGTTTTTCTCATTAAGGCATATGGCTTCATTAACTGATTAGACAACGGTTGACTCATACACATGGATTTGTTATTTGGACTTTATTATAAGCAGACCATTATGGTTTCCATCGGCTTAATTCAGAATGCCAGATTCCCTTCTGAGAAGTACCAGAATGGCTTATGCTTCCAGAGGCAAAGATGTGTGGGAGGCTGCTATTTCAAAATAGCAGTGGATCTGTTTGAGTAACGAATAAACTACAAATCGTGTAGTTCCCGTCTTTGGCAACGAAGTGGGCTGGAACAGATTCCTACTGAACTCTGAGTCAGCCAGGCTACAGCACACAAGCCGCCTGTTGAAGGGTGCACCCGGCTACATTCAAGGCTAGCCTGCTCCTTTAGGCACCCTGAAAACAAGTGTCCGTGTGACAGGACTGCTGCCTTGGAGTATGAGTCGGGATCTCTGCAGTCTGTTCAGAGGATCTTTCTCTTGGATCATCTTCTGCAGAGATGTAAGACAGGACTAGTTGTTCCATAGCTGTATTAATTCATTATGCACTACTTTCTTTTCCTTGTCACGGTTCCTGCACAGCCAGGCATGCAGAGGTGGAGTACGTTATGTACTGAATGTTGGATTAGGCCTAACAGATGTGTTTTGTAAGGTGTAAATTGTAATCTACGACATTGATGAAAAAGAAGGTTGTATTGAGGCGCACATCAGATAAAATTATTGCAGCTTAATAAAAACTTATCACCTGTATACTGTGCAGAAGGCAGCTCCCTTTTCTGTGAAATGTGAGATGCGGGGACTTTGTACTTACTGTAAAGCCAGGCACATTTTCAGCATATCTTAAGAACAGTATGACAGAAACAAAGCAGACCCAAGTGAGGCAAGTTGTATATTTGTAATGGCCATAAGCCCGTGGAGCCCAACAACTGGAAAAACACTGTGAGACAAGGTCTGAAACACTTAAATTTAGTTTATACTGCACGCGAGGAACCAGGGAGAGTTAATGGAGTGTATCCCGGAGGGAGAGGCTAGCAGGTATTCCTAGTCTGACTTCATTAGGTGTTTGGACAAGGAAAGGTATGATGTGGATAAGCAATGGAGCAGATAAGATCGTTGAAATAACAAGGATATGGACACTGTTTTAACCATGCCAGTTATCTGTTCCTGGCTAAACCAGGACAGCTAACAGACAAAGTAGACATACTTTCGATAAGCATAGGACACCGTGCAATGGAAACTTAAAATAAAGGTAAAAAAATGTCAATAGGCTATAGCCCTGCCAGTAAGATACAGTTATTTTGTTATTTGTTGGATTAATGTCCTTTCAAAATAGATTTAACTGAACTAATACTTTTATCTTGATCACTGTCTTGCATGGGAACGCTGACTGATTGCAGTAATGGCTTTCAGCAGTTGGTCTCCTTGCAACACTACCACAAACAATTCAATTTTAGTACAGTTCGGATTAAATTTATTTGTAGCTTTTGTTAAAAAGAAATACGGAGCTGATTCAGCTGTGCACAGGCTTGAGAAGGGAAAATGCCTTTTCTGGCCCGACCTGAATCAGATTGCAAAGCAGCAAATCTGCTGAAATCCACTGACATGCCACAAAAACAAGGCTTGAGCATGCCATGTTCCAGTCAGCAATGTGCATTTCATGCGCTGCTCAAAACAAACAAAAAAACCCTCCCACCAACAAACAGCAAAAGGCACTATGCTACCTGAAGTAACCCTTTCCCAGACTTTCCACACACTATTTCCTTATAAGCTAAAATCTATAAAGTTATTAATGCAAATAGTATTCTAATTCTTTAAAAATGGCTGTGCATTTTGAATTTACAGCATGCATGTACAGGTTGGGCTTATTTTGTTTGGGTTTATATTGTTGGTGTTTGGTTTACATTTAAATTGTTATCCATGTGGAAAGGGAGGGGAGCACAGTATGGTGCTTTTCATGTAGTGCCTTCGCACATGAGAGATACAGTTTACATGCTGTGCCTTAAAAATCTCCCTCCTGCCCAGGGAGGAAACAGGTCAAACCCACGTTCAGTTGTTTTTCAGCAGCAGCCTACTTCAGTTAGTTTGTGCAGGGAGGACGAAGGAGGTGCACAGGAGAAACTAAATGAGATGATGGATGAAGCCTGCAATTGTTTAGGATGGGGTGTACTCTACGTGTGTCTGTCTGTGACCCAGCCGTGGCTGAAAGGAAGCTAATCAGTTCATTTTCTATTCAATGCTGCCAGCAGGAGAGGTTCTTTATAGGGAACAAAGAGAATTTGTCCTTTACTTGATGCTCATTTTTACTGTTAAGAAAATGTGTATATGCAGTAGAATGGGAAGTATCACACTGCTTGGTGGTGACCCCAGCTGAAAGCAATATACCTTCAATCTGCCCAAAGGGATGCCTCAGCAAGGAAGTTCTAATATTTTTCCTAAAATATTTGTTGTGAATACAACAGATTCACAGTCGGAGAGTGAGGCTTCTCCTGTGAAACGGCCACGGCTACTGGATGACAGTAATGACAGACCTGAAGAAACCAGTCGATCCAAACAGAAGAGTAGACGCCGATGCTTCCAGTGCCAAACAAAACTGGAGCTAGTACAGCAGGAACTGGGATCATGTCGCTGTGGTGAGTACTGCTTGTCAGTAGCGTCTGGCTTTCTAATGCAGCCATGCTCGGATCCGTATCAGAGGTGGAAATACAGAGAACACTTGCATTTTGTATCTTTCAAAGATACTTTCAACAGAAGCTATAGCTTCCACTGGTAGCAAAAAGTTGTAATGAGTTCCTGTCTAATTTCCCCTTTAAAACTTTGGCCTTGATGTACTGCCTTGTCTCAAGAGATCCCAGATGTTAATGAATTTAGCTTCAGAAGTCCCTGTAAGGCGGGAGAGCGTCATACCCACTTGACAGGAGAGGAAACACAAAGCACATCAGTAAATGTGCAAAGATGACAAGGTTTTTACAGAGCTTAAAGGAACATAGGTCAGCATCTACATTCTGCATTTTATAATTGCATTATTATTAAAAAGTTGAAAACAAAAAAACCTCTTAACTGCAAATGTTTTCATTCTCACAGTTAGATGCTGGGGGGGAGGAACTGGTTGTTCACCATTGTCCTGGTTTCAGCCAGGTTAAACAACAACCATACACTTAAAATCATGCAACCTGCCTTTTCTGAAGTTGATGACACTGTTCAGCTAATTGAATTGAGGATGATGATCTCATGTGGACAGCTAATTGGGGTCTCAGATTAACATGCAAATAATCTTTCTGAAATAATAATCTATGTGACTAGGTTCCAGAGGAGGTGCTCTCTCCTTCATGGAACAATTGTGTTCATAACTGGTTTAAAAGTGCTCATCAGACCCAATGATAATGCACATGGTAGTTTTACCTACTAATTATTTTTTCATATAATCATGTATTGAAAGCTTACGCTTGCATTCTCTGACCATGCTTGTGTTGATAGGTTTGGAGAAGTTTGTTTAGTTACTTCATCATGTCTCAGCAAGGGGATAATTTCCAAAAGATTTCCCTAGACAATAGGTGCGATTCACATTGCACCTGTGAAATGTAGAATATTGTATTAAAATGTTTTCTGGGTAGAAGGCATGTCCTCCTGAGCAGCAGTGAGGAGAGACAGGATTGGCTGAGCAAGTTATAGAGACCCAGTTAATGAATTCTGTATTGCATACCAAATAGCAAGCGAAGTGATAGAAAGCTGCAAAGATGCCACGTTATCCTTTGTTCTTTTCTTCAGCATCTGTCTGTCTTCAGCCTTTAGAGGTTACTGTTGTGTTGTGCTCTTTTGGACATGAGACAGGCTTTGTTTCAGGTATCAGAGCACTGTTACAGAAGTAACACACGTTGTCTGTGAAGCCACCAAACATGAAATCAAAAGCTGTAATGTTGAAATTCTTGTTATGGAAATCATGTGTCTGGATACTTTGAGGTATCCAGCGAGATTTTTATCAACCCAAAGAAATCTGGCACTATCAATGATGCAGTTGGTATGGCTCTTTCTGCTTGGCATAGTAGAGGCTGGAGTTTCTGCTCTTGGTCTGCTGCTGTCACATACCAATTGACTGAGGCTGCTCGCAGGTACCTGACTGAAATTGAAGAGTCCTCCCTAATACTGGGAGCAAGAGTTTTAGAAGTTTGGGGACAACTGAAGAAAAGATGACTTAGAGATTACATTGTATCATTAATCTTTCCTGCATTCTGCAAAATGGGAGCTATGTAAGAGCAATGAAGTTGAAAGCAACTTTTTTAAAGTCCTTCCATTGATAGACAATGTTTTCAGAATTACAAAATAAGACTTGCCTCTTTTTTTTTTTTTTTTTTTTGTAAACTGGATGATAAATACATCGAGTTGGTTCCTCTCAGGTTCTCTTGAAGTAATTCCATAATTCAACATTTTTGCAATATAAATGTTGTAGGAATTATTATTTAAATTGTTTCTACTGGATATACACAGCTTTATGGAAATACTTTTGTGAAAGTTCAGAAAATGTGTTAATAAAACATGAGTATGAAACAAAAAATTCTGAATTCCTCAGCAATAAGTGAGGAGATGAAAATTTGCATTCCTATGTGACATATTACATCTGATATAGTTTAAAGGATGTATAGTAAAGATTTATATTCCACACATCTAATGAGAGAAGTGGGAGGCTGGAGTCGTGTTTCCGTGTTTACAATACGGCTGAAAAGACTGGAGATCTTTGGTTTACCTGTGAAGCTATAATGTTTCATTAATACTGTATTCGGTACATATGTATAATCTATAATGAAATGCTCTCATATGATGTTAAAGTAGGCACACCCTGCACTCCTTAGTTTTAATAGTCATATTAATAAGAAGCAAACAAAACCCTACCACTGAGCAACACAGGTCATCTCAGCTTCACATCACCTAAACTGCTTTATCAATACTCATCAGCAAGTAGCTTTTGTCATTTGTAAAGAAGCTGCCTCAGAAACCATTCTCACTAACTTTGCCCTCCTGTCTGTAAAATTAGTTGCTTTCAGTTGTGAATGACAAGCCAGGTCAAAAACCCTGGGGAGGAGGTGATGGGAAATGGGACACACTAAAGATGTTAAAATTCTCATTCATTTAAAGTGTTTTCTAAATCCCTATGTGATCAGGTTATCCTTTCTGCCATAATGTGAAGCACAGGTAATGATGCATGTTTAACTGGAAGTGTTGGAAATATAATCAACTGGTGTAAAATAAGCATGTGTGTTCTTCAAAAGTAATGGTTAAGGTAGAACATTGTTTGATCTGGACTTTGGACCCCTGCTGTTAAATTCTTGGCATCTTAATCCTTAACTGAAGCAGTGGGGAAAAAACGTGGAAAAAACCTTAACTTTAAACATAAAAAGAAATTCTCATAGTCAGCATCAATAAAAAGGCAGATACGATCTTTAGAAGGACAAATGTGTGTGTGTGTGCTTGGATGTAAGGAGACAGGATTAACCACATAAATACTATGTTGTTCCAAAGCTGTGTCTGAAACACTGTTGTTAAAATCCAAATTAACTCTTAAAACTCCACAGAACAGCAATTTTATGGTTTGCTGTTACACATCTTTCTGTCCTAATGTTCAAAGTACTGGAAATCGTCTCCTTTTTTGCTGATGTGTCCTGGTGACTCTTTCAGTGAGATTTTTAGTGAGATATAGTGGAAAGAAAAATCTGTACATAATGGACAATGTTTTAATATAGACATACCTGCAGATATTAGTCCAGCGTAACTGGGATTTGCCCAACCTGGCACAACCTTTTTAAAAGGGGACAGAGAGAGTGAGCTGCTTGTTTACACCTAAGGCTTTACACCAAATTCAGAGATCTTTGGGAAACTGCTGTATTGGCTCTACTGTCTCCTGTAAGACCTGTCCAGAGAAGTGATGCTGCTGAGCTCGTTCCCTTGACACTACATGGAATTTTAGACAGATATGACAGTGCTGCAGGGCTTTGCCATGAAGAAAAACAATTCCTATGGAGAAGGGAGTTCCAGTAAGGGTTCTTCAAATTCAAAGACAACATTTTTCAGCTATAGAAAGATTTGTTTATTTTCATACACGCATACTCTCAAAATCTTTTTTTAATTCTGCTTCCGCTCTGTACAAGTTATTAACTGCTGACAAGAAATTCACATCTCATAAATAATGCTTAAGAGCCATTGGTATATAAATTGAATGTGTTATGAATTGTGATGGGTCTTTTTGTAGCGTTCTGTGCCTGGAGCAGGAAGAACAGAGGATGTCATTTTCATTAATTTCTAATGAGATGCCAATTAAAGGCAAGGAAGGAACTCAGAAGGGAAGAGTCATAGAGCTCCCCTGAATCCTGTATCCTGGGGCTGTCAAAGGAGCATGCTGCCAAGCCTCCTCTGAAAGTTCCTGTAAATTACAAACTCATCCAGAGCGCACACAGACAAATTCAGCTTCCCTTTGATCTTCAAAAGAGCAATTTGTAAGATGAGTTGTGAGCCTTTTCACATGGCGGACTGGGAGAAGTGATAGGAATTGTTAATTGCTGATGCACTTTGCAAGCTTCAGTGAGGAAGAGAAATTTTAAAATGAATTCTCATTTTGTGCCTCTCTGATGCGTAACCTTCAGATCAACACTACTAGAACAAAACCAGCTTCCTATGAAAGTTTCTAGATGACAGCTACACTAGGCATGTTTTCCAGACAGCAATGTTCTCTAGTTTTGGGTGGGCCTGTCGATAGTTTAGTGTCTTGTGATGGATGACGACTGTATTGAAATTATGTATTTATTTAATATTAGATTTACTAGGCAGTTATATCATCAAGGAATTACAGGAATCATATTCTTCAAGTTACATTATATTACAGCATTTCTGCTGGAAGTGTAAGTAGTCCGAAATCAATCGCCTGTGATCCTTGATCTGAAAATTGTCAGTTCAGTGATGTGATAAGCAGGTAGTAACCATAGACTTACTTTAAAACCAGGGTAGCGAGTTTGTGAGTGAAAGTAGCTATATAACACAGAGTTCTGGAAATGTATTTTAGAAAAAGGCAGATTATTTATTTGCAAATTATACTGCAGGCTTTGTCTTAATTACTTGACTAGATGTATGTTGCTACTAAATAAAGGTGTGTACACTTTTAAAAGATACTGAGCTGTAAACCTCTAAGCCATAGAAATTGTTTGCACAGAAAGGATAGCTTAATTTTATGGCAGACACTTAGTATTTTACAGCAAAATGTAGTTCTGGTATCTCTTGCTGCGTAAAGACAAGGCACAGAAGTCCGCCGTGGTCTTTAAAATTGTTGGAATTGCTGAAGAGGTATGAGGATATTCTAGATGGTCAGTAAAGGAATCTTACATCTGTCATGTTAGATCCAGTCCTAGCTAGCAATTAAAGAAAAATTAGTACAGTGTGTCAGCTCTTCAGCAGCTTTGGTGTAGAATGGTTTGCTGTTTGTAGGCTACATCCTTAATAGACATGTCTGCAGCTCAGGCTCCATCTGTCCAGAACTCTTGGTAATCAGTGGGGTGGCCGAGATAATGGGCCTTGGGAAGTCAGTCTATCTTCAGCTTCCAGTCACAGTGCCTTAGAGAGAGGTTGCCAATTTGTTTGTGTGGTTCTTGGG